AGTGTTTTTCAAATTTGGCAACTTTGGAATGTGTTGTGCTCAGGCTGGCTGAGAAATTTTGGAAGTTGAAGTCCACACATCTTAAAGTTGCCAAATTTGAAGATGATGTGGTCTAAAAAGCCTCTTTTCCAATCCATATTTACTGTTCTCAGAACCAAATGACAAATTTAACAAGAAACATCCTTTTTGGATGAAATGTTTGGTTTTTTGGGGGGGGGGATATTAAATAAGGGAGGTAAGCCCTTTGGGAGGCTTCACATACTGAATTTGGACAAACAAAACTCACCTTACTCCATTGATCAAATTCTGAAAATATCAGCCCTATAACCCATTCCCTTTCTAGCTTGAATTGAATCCTGCTTTTTGCTAGTTTGCTTATATTTCATTTGGAATATAGAAAAAACCAGTAGCTCTGCAACCAGTTGTCCAAAAAGGAAAGAGTAACAATCTTAATACCCAGATCAGCATAAATTTTGTGGGTTATTGTTTATGAGTCTGGAGAGTTTCTAGATTTTTTTTAGACTTTTCATTTTTTTAAAAAAAACATCTCAGTGAAGCAAAGAAAGATCTAAAGTGCTGCAAAAACATTTTAAAAGCAGAAGGTTTTCTTATTAAAACTTGTTTGTGGTAGTTAATAGAAATTACAGTTTGTAGTAATGCCACTGTGGCTTCTGGAAGAAACCATGGTTTAAAATGGCTTTGTTCAGCTTTCAGAGATTGAGGAAAAAATGAAAAGATAAAGGCCTCTGATAGCAAAATGTTTCCCACTTCAGGACAATGAAATCAGAACTTGGAAAAGTGTATTTGATAAAAGTGAAATAGTCTCCATAGAGCCAAAGCACAGTTAACAGAGTCCTTAAGACCCACAGAAACCTGAATATTATACTTAGCATTTTGTATTAATACAAAATGCTAAACCCCTCCTAGGCTCTCTTTAATACATATAAAAATAAAGTGTCAATTAATATTACAGTCTGAGCCGCCTGTTACTATGTATTCAAGCTTAAAGGAGAATTTAACTAAGTCTCCTCTTTGGTGTGATCCCTGCCTTACTTATTTCAAGCCTTACCACCTGGAGGTTTTGCCCTTTTAGCTTTTACTTGGCTATTGATTTTGTGCAAGTTCTTATTTTGACATTACCACTTGTGGGCAAAAAGGTCACTTAACAGTTGAATTTGCACAACTTATTTATGTATGGTTAACTAAACCACACTTAGTAAAATAACACAATTCCCTATGTATCACATACTGATCCATAAACTTGCTCCAAAGGATAAGTTAATCACACAATTGGGAGATATCATTTAAATGCCATTGGGTCTAGCCTCCTGTTCAATGCAGGAAACCTGTCTGTGAATCATTAGAGCCTCTTTTTCCCAATTTTTAAAATATGGGCAACATTTACTCACCATCATTTGTAGGTACCCATTCTCCAGGATTTCTCAAAGGTTCAGAAAAGTTCAATTAAATAATCAGCTTTCTTTTCAGTTAGCTTTAAAGCTACAGCTCATGTGGTTTTACAGCTGGAAACTCATTCAGAATAAACTTCCATTATCATGTTTTAAATCAGGGGTGTCACATGACATATCACAACTTTTTTCCCCTTCGCTAACCCCGGGGGTAGGCATGGCCAGCGCATAATGCATCTGGCCCATGGGCTGTGAGTTTGACACCCCTGTTTTAAATGGATAGAATTGAAACTCTATGCATTTATCCTGCTCTTCACAATTTCTTGTAGAACATATATATATATTTGTTGGAGAGGACTACAACAAAATGGTAGTATACTGTAGCTCTGCCTTTTCTTTCTGATTTGGATTTTGCCATCTTCACTGAGTAGCGGGTATATAGGTAGTCCTTGGTGTACGACCACAATTTAGCCCAAAATTTCTGTTGCTAAGTGAGACATTAAGTGAGTTTTTTCCCATTTTACAACTTTTCTTGCCACAGTTAAGTGAATCACTGTAGTTATTAAATTAATAATGTGGTTGTTAAATGAATCTGGCTTCCCCATTGACTTGTCAGGTCGCCAAAGGGGATCACATGACCCTGGAACACAACAACACAACAGATATAAGTCAGTTGCCAAATGTCTCAATTTTGATCACATGACCAGGGGATGCTGCAATAGTCATACATGTGAAAAACGGTCATAAGTCACTTTTTCAGTGCTGTTGTCACTTTGAATGGTCACTAAATGAACTGTTGTAAGACAAGGATTACCTGTACTGATTATTATCTATTTTTTTTTATTCTGAACATATTTGAAGAAGGTCATTTAATCAAAGCCAACCATTGAATCCAGAGCTTCTGTAGAATGACAAAACTTGTGTTGTGACCTCACCCAAGCAATAGCCTTTATGTATTTGTCTGTAACGGTGGCACACACAAAGGACCTATGCCTACACACATTCCATCATTTGCCCACTTGTTCTACTTTTGTTCTTCACCAACCTCTGTGAACATTGGTTTTCTGTGCTTCCTCTACAGGTTCCAGATAATTTATCTGTATTCTTCCTTAGTGACTATCCTTCCTCTTCATTCAAATTGCCTCTTCTGTTGTCTCATATTCCTTTTCTTTCTGGAATTGTTTGTGATAGCGCTTTTAATGTTTGCTTTTTTTAAGGAGGCCCCCACTCATCTTATTTTCCCATCAGATTTCCTGCCATGAAATCAACTTATAATTGTTCTGATTTCATTAAAAGCTACTTTTTGAAGTTCAAGATAATGCATACAACCACTTCCCCTTAATGCTCTTGGTAGTCTACTTCTTCAATTAAGTTTTCCCTGCTAATTGTTACAAAACAACCTTTCTCAACTGGAATTCCAGGAAATTTAGGGTTCCATGAGAGTCAGGTTTGAAAAAAATATCAACATAGTGTACAAATAGCTCATGTTGTAAGATGTAAATATAATAGCTTTTATTCAAGAGTTCCTGAAATACTATTTCCTCCAGAGTTAAAAGCAAAGTTGAAAAAGACTGTTATATCATCAGAAATAGTTAATTCTTTTAGGCCTTCATCCCCTGAAGGAGGAAGTTGTCTCCAAGACAAACCTAGAATTTTCAGTAAAGACCATGCTTCTTTATTCCCAGCAGTAATTTGAGTCCTTAGTATCATAATCACTAATATTATAAACTTTTTGAAAGGGTTTGCAATTTGCTTTTGGAAACCACCTTCTGATTCTTCACTTTGATTGGCTGGGGAACAGGAACTATCACCAACAATGGTGATTAATTAATTCATCCACTTAACCCAGATGCTTCCTGCAATATCTGAAAGTTTATTCATTGAGTTTTAGCAGCTGTTAGCAGTATAGCTGTTTACTATACTGTGTAACTTGTTCTACTACTTCTGTTCATTTTAAACAATTATATTCTTTCACTTTTACGTCCCAAACATAGGAATCTTTCACTAGGTTTCTGTTATATTGATTACTTTTATGTTTGCCTTCCTGTACTAAGAATTCCAGCTCTCTTGTTTAATTTCTGAAATATAAACATTAGCATGTGGGGAACAAAAATCTTGATGAGTCAATAAACTTTGTAACTTTTTTTTCCTACTGAGTGGATTAATTGTCTCCATTACTGCAACATTCCTATTACCTACCACAATACCTGAGCTTTATCTTAACTTTTCAGTTAAGGATTTTCATCTTAGTTAAAGTTTCATTTGAAAGGTCTCCTGATAAAACTCTCCATATTTCAGCTGAGCCATTTTTCACCCGCCTTCATGAGGTGTTTATTCTGGGCCATAATTCAGACAATGAATCCAAAATCCAAATCCTGCCAACATGATTTACATAACCAATCATCCCTCTTCTTCTTTCTCTTGTCTTCCCTTATAAATGAAGATCATCCTTCAAGTTTCTTGAGCTTCCTTCCTGGCTCTGCAAAATTTATGGTGATCCACAGTTCGGGTTTGCAATATTTTTGTCCTTCTGTGGATTAGCATTAAGGAACAAATATGTATGGATTTGATCATCTTTGGCTGTCAAATCCTGATTCATGCCCCAGGCAGGCAGCACACTTCATAAGTACATAGACGAGCCTTATCAGCACTCATCATATCAGTTCTTATATAGTATTCACATATAGCAGTGAGTTACTACCTTTTGGCTGTCTACTTTTGGTTGTTTACTTGCAGGGCACAACCAGTAGTGGGTTGCCCCTGGTTCGGACCGGTTCGCAAGAACCGGTAGTAAAACCAGCGGGAGGCTCCACCCATTGACCCAGACATCGTCATAAGTGATCTGTGCATGTGCAGAAGTTTCTGCGCATGTGCAGAAGAGCGTGCGAGTGCGATGCGAACCGGTAGTAAAGGTAAGTAGAACTCACCCCTGGGCACAGCTGTTTTTCCTGAGTTCTATAGGAATCAATTATCTTCTGTCCTATATTGTATCTTTTTGTTCCACTCAAGGCCCAGAGCCAACCTCTTCTGCAGAACACACCGAACCACAAATTAGCCAACTACATTTTAATTTAGAACATCCTGCAAACCCATCTACTGATTCCAGGCAAGAGCTCATGGTACATGCATTGATCTGCTCTTCCTGGTTGACTGTTCAGCTTCGGCTGCCTAAAATGCTTATATTTCACTTTGCATAAGAGTAAGAACACTAGATAGGAAGAAAACCAATTGTACATGCATGTATATAATATATACATATACCCTAAATAAACACACACACATACACATACACACAAGATGCTATGGTAAAATAGCACACTGCTCCTGAAATAACTTGCTCTATATGAAAGTTATTTCAGAAGCAGTTGGCTACAATAACCTAACAGCCTGATTATGGTTTTAGTGAGGCTGCTGAAAGAAAAAACGGTTTGAGAACATTAGTAAATGTATTCCTTTTTAAGGTGATGTCACAAGCTGTAAATGGAGGTTTTGGTTTAAATTGGGGACAGCTGTAACAACTGCAAACATTTATTAGCACAGAGCTATTGATCCTCACCACTAGTCTCAAGCATTATGGAGGTAACCAGCAAAATGAGAGCAGAAAGAAGAATTTCATGGGAGTGGTGCATTAAAATCGCTTTATGGCTGACTGTTTTACTTTATTGGGTAAGGTATTGATTTGTGTGTGTGTTTTAAATTTGTAAATGTATCTCACTTTGTATCTAGATTTATAAAATGTTACAAATTTTTTTCATTTATTTTTGGACCAACTTCTAAATTCTGTTATGTGTTATAATAGTGCAGTTCTTAGCCATAATAGGATAACTGGAAATATAGTAGTTTAGAAAATAAACTTAATAAGATTGTGGTTGTGCTTGCACAATGTGCTAAATCGTAAAGCAGTGTTTCTAAACCAGGATGGCAGAACTGAGGTTTTTTCCAACTTGCATCATTTAGCAATTAAAACTTTTTGTGAGGCCAAGGTGTAATATTCTAAAGCAAATTACATTTTTCACTAAATATAAATGACTTAATTTAAAATGCTTTGATGAAATGCTTCCTTTTCCTGTACTTTATACTATTTATAATTTTTCAGCCCTAGAATAAGTAATATATAATGACTTGATTTACTTTGCATTAAACATGGTTTTTCTGAATTTGTATGTTGTATATACACAGCTGTGTTTTTTAAATAATCTCTGTTTAAATTGGTATGCTTGAGTATTTTACAAACAGCTTTGCTATGATCCTCCTAGAATATTTTCCTAGAAAAATCCATAAATATCTCCTTTTTACTGCTATTTTTTTAAGAATTTCTTTAAGAATATAGTAGCCTGATTTCTTCTACACTATTGATTAATGTATGAAACTCTAAACATACCTCCTGAAACTTTAAAAGAGTAAAGAGCTTGAATTTGTTATATCATGGCTTGTTTAATATGTGCTGAATAATCCATGAACCACAGAATGGATTAGAAACCAAACAAACCACATAATGACCTATTTTGATGTTTAAAGCCTAGCCTTGAACAGAAAGGGTTAACTCTACTATGAGCTTGGAGCAAATGTCTGTGCAAGTAACAATCAAGATTTTTATCTATACTTCTTTCCCTTGTATGACTTTGAACATCCATGTTACAAATAGTTTGAAATTAATTTGACTAAAATATATTTGCCTTCATGAGGAATAACCTCTAACTATGTTTCTTAATTATGCTTTAACCTCCCAAACTCTAGGTTGCTGGAGTTGTGTTAATAGTCACAGGTGTGTGTGTTCAAGTGAAACTTCACAATGCTTTTGTGGTACTGAATGAAGCTGCTTCAGGAGTACCTGTGACCATAACAGTTATTGGTGTGCTTATTATCATTCTGTCTGGCTTTGGGGCAATTGCTTTATTCAGATCTAACAAAGCCATGATCAAATTGGTAAGTGCTATTCAAATATATTAAATGCAATACAAAACATGTGTAGTTAATCATGATTTGTTTAATGAATCTCAATGTGGTTAAGATTTAACCTCAATGGAGTTGCAAGATACCATAGCAATATCTCCTTAAGTTCTGATTCTTTCTCAGATCAGCTCTTAAGGTAGGACTGGACTAAACCCATTGCAGTCCTGAGCTCATATACATGGAAACAAGAAATTGTAACCTGGTGTCAAGAAATTAAGCTAGAAATTCTGTCTACATAATTGTCCATTACTGAGGAGTAGTAAAAGTAAACCAACATTTAATATATTTTTATTTGAATTGACTGTAAAATTTGTTTTATTTTGTAAGAAGCTACAATTATGTTAGATGGTTGTATGCCATTTAAATTCCAGTTCTGTTAATGTGTTGGGGAAAACTATCTGACTATGATGCTTGTTGTTTTTAGTGCTAATAATGCCCCAAAATATGTTGGCCTGGAAATGTATGCATATAACACAGTCACTATATAACCAGAGCCAAGTTTTTACCATGTATGGTTCGGGTGGTTTGACTTGGACAGAATCGGCCTCTCAGTTTCAACTCTTTCTAATGGTGACTTCATCATTTTGATGTATCTGAGAAGATAAGTGACCGCAATAATGGATGAATGTTGAGTTTGGCTTTGCACTTGTCTCAGAGTGAGATTGACATACCAGGCAGGCTAAGAATTGGACCTCTGAATAAGAGAGTTAGGGATGGATATAGAAGGGTAAAAATAACAGTGCTGTGTTCTCAAAAGCAATTCTGATAAATCAGTGGCTTTTAAACTAAACAGGTCTCTCTCTTTCTCTCTGACTAGTTCACAGGTTTACTGGTGTTGCTCTTGATCACTGAAATCCTAGTTGTTGCCACTTCCTATGCGTGCAGAATAAAGGTGAGGTTTGGGAAAGAAAGTTTCTGGTTCAAAACACAAGTCTTATCTTCAAACTGGAGGGGAGGCAAAACCTTTTGCTTCTTGAGAATTCTCCATTCTCAAGAGGAATGGAGAATTGCCATAATGTGAACTAATTTTTGATTTCTGCTAGCTACCTGTATGTCCAGTATAGCATTCTGGGCTTTCCCATGTCCTTAACAAAGGATGCTTTTTTTTTGTCTTCTCTGTCACTCTAAAATAGAGAAATGGAAAGAGAGGAAGTGGGTGACAAGATTTATACAAACAGTGATTATCTGTTAGCCTAATATTGTATGATCAGTTATCTTCCCACAGCACTCTGGCAGAGGAAGGCAATTGCAATGGAGCAGAGCTTGACCTGATGTGTAATTTAATATTCAACTGATAATAGTTCTATGCTCAAAAAATATAAAAAAGAATCTGGGTGGGATGCAGTGTCAGTTGGCTGCTTTTTCCTAAACAGTTAAGTACCCCAACGTTGAAAAGCAATTGACTAGAACAAGCTGCCTTACAAGGAACACCACTGCTAATCATGTCAGGATAGTGTTCGTAACCAGCAGATAAAAGACAAACATCTTTAACACTATTTGATTTTCAGAGGAAGTGATCACCTTCTCTTCAAAATAATTAGTAATAACTGGCTAACTTAAAATAGAAATGGCTTTTCATTGTTATTAGTCTTGCAATTTTACGGTACAGTTTTGTACTGTACTGGATTCACAGCAAAAGGAGTATAAACAGGAGTATAAACAACTTAGAGTCAGTTGTAAACATAAAAAAAAAGAGTTTGAAAAGTGTATATTCTGAATGCCCTAGAATTTCCATTTGCTTTATTCTATGTCTCCCCAGCTACTCCAGACTGTATCCAAAGATTTCGTGAGGATTCTGAACAAGTATGATAAGATAGTGCAGATCACCAAAGGGGTGGATACTCTCCAAGCAGAGGTAAGGAATCTCTCCCCACCCCCCCCAGGAACAACTGAACCCTAATTTAAGACAAAAATTGGTAGCATGACTTCTCACTTGCATTAGAGGAACAACTATAGAAATTAAATACTGATTCTAGTAAATAGGCTCAAACCTTTAGAATTGGTGTTGCTGCTGCTTCCGTTTTGTTGTTTTACAATTAAAAAGTCAGAACTACAGAGTTTATTTAGACTGCTGATCTGTACTCAGAGGCAGAGTTTATAGAATCCCACTGGGTTAAACTGGAGCTAACTAGTATGTGGCTCACCGCTGCCCTTGGTCTCAAAGCATACTTTCCAACTCAGTTAAAGGTTCAATATATTCTACAGCCAGGTGATTACTGGATAATGTTCAAATAGAATTGCTCCAAGTAAATAACCTCTGCAGATTATTTTTTTTTCATGCCTGTAGATATGTAGGGAAAATGACATGGGCACCCCTAATATGAATCTGAGTTGCGTCTAAGAAAATGTATAAGAAAATACATAGCAAGAGCCTTGGTAGTACAGTGGTCTAAAGCACCCTGTTATTAAGACCAGCTGCCTGCAATTACTGCAGGTTCGAACCTCGCCAAGGCTCAAGGTTGACTCAGCCTTCCATCCTTTCTAAGCTAGGTAAATTGAGGACCCAGTTGTGGGGGCAATAAGCTGACTTTGTATAAATATACAAAAGAATGAAGGCTATTGCTTAGCGCATTGTAAGCCGCCCTGAGTCTCCGGAGAAGGGTGGCATATAAATCAAATTAAAAAAAAAAAAAGAGAGAGAGAGTTTTCCAGAACTGCAAAGCCTTTTGGAATTCTGTCCAAGATGACTGTTCCCTATTTATCTACTATGGATGTCTAGATTATTTATTTATCTGTTATTGAGGCAATGTAAACCAATATTTTAAGGATTCCAGAAGGCACTGTAAATATTTAGTGAGGATGACACTTCTTATAGGAAAAACTTGGAATGGTTTACAATTCCAAAATCTAACTTTAATAGGGAAACAAAGAAAGGAAACTACCTTCTATGATCTGTGTTGAGTCCATCATGTCTTCATCTTCCCACTGTCAAGAACTTTAAGAAAGATATATGGCTAGACTGTGAGCAGAAAATCTCTGCATTTAGTTAAGGAAGTGAAGCTACTGACTTATGAGACACTGTATTCTCTGTTACCAACTTGCATGCTTGCCTCCCTACTGTAGTTTCAATGCTGTGGTGCGGAGAACTATTCAGACTGGCAAAACACAACCTTTGGACTGCTCTCCTCATCTGTCCCCAAAAGCTGCTGCAAAGTGCCTGTGGAAAGCTGTGTTACTGATCTAAACGAAGATATGGTTGGCATTAATCAGGAGGTAAAACTCCACATTCCCATCATCGCTTTTGTTAAAGGAAGGATGCATGTGAATCTAAAGTGCTTTTAAGTTGGTTACAGTTCTTACTGGGAATATATTGTTAAATGGATTAAGTAAAGAACCTTGTTGTTCAGGATGATTCCTTCCAAGTTGCTACATCTATATAGTGATGATAGAATCTAACTCATGACATATCTTGGTTTTAAATGGATTCTTTTGCTAACTCTCCTACCTGCTCTGATTAGAACTAGTCATTGAGAAAGGAGTAGAACCACTGTAAAACTGTTCCCTCAATCCCAAAGTAAGCATAACATCTAACATTTATAGTCTATGCCTGTAGGTGCCTGTAGAGAATGTATCCCTCATTCTCTCTCTGAGCTCTCTAATGGTTTATTGTTTTAATTGTTAGCTGAATTTAATTTGATTAGCTTTTAAGAAACATCCATTGCAATTGTTAAGAATGCATTCCCCCCCCCTTCTTTCTCAGGGCTGTCTTCTGAAACTAAAGACATGGACTGAAAGAAACATTTCTGCACTTGGAGGACTTGCAGTTCTTGTTGTATTTGGTCAGGTAAGCATAAAAGGCTTAAATAAAGGACTACAGTAATAGCATTTGGTGCTTGGTTGGAGAGACAAATCTGTAGGTCCAGACTTTCAAAGTAAAGTAAAAAACATTTGGGATCCTTAACACTGTTTCTCTTGTACAGTAGCTCTTTCATGCTATTGCTTTCAGTAGAGCTTAGAGCTAAATGCCATCTAACTGGAATGATCGATTTCATTTTCTTACGTGTCAGAATTAAATCACTTTCTGCATGTTCTGTACTTTCTCATCAGGTAACTGGGATCATGCTTTGCTATATTCTGCTGAAAATAATAAACGAAGACTATGACATCATTGAACAAGCTTAAGAAGCCAGCATTCATTTTATGACTGCAAACTTGAATTGAAATTGAAATAAAGTGGGTTTTTTCTTCTTTTTGTCTTGCCAAATACAAAGTGCACAAAATAAAATGTTCTAAAACACAATTGTTGCATTGGTATTTTTCACTCCTAGTGTCGTGGCCCCTCTGGATTCTGCCTTGTTAACGAAGGCAATCTGTAAAAATTTAAGTTGCTAAAACGTTGAGATCCTACTTCACATAGTACAATCCCACTCAAATTTCCATGTAGATACAGTAACTCTCTTGTATTCGCTAGGGTATTAATAGGATGACAATCTTTAAAAAGAAGTGTGGGTTTAATACACTCAGACAACTGGGGTGTATTTTTTTTAATTTCATTTATATGCTGTCCTTCTCCAGAGCCTCAGGGCGGCTTACAATGCGTTAAGCAATAGCCTTCATACTTTTGTATATTTATACAAAGTCAGCTTATTGCCCCCACAAACTGGGTCCTCAATGTACCTACCTTAGAAAGGATGGAAGGCTGAGTCAACCTTGAGCCTGGTGAGATTCGAATTTATAGTAATTGCAGACAGCTGGTGTTAATCACAATGCTATCAGTCTGCTGAGCCACCAGGCCCTTGAATGTATAATTATTAGGGGTGTATAATAATTAGGTAAATGAATGTACAAGTATTGCTTAGCAAGACACTTACAAGGAACTGTGCTAGTCACATAAATAGCACAGGAAAATGGTAGATAGTAACATACTAAGAAGTAAAGTCAAACTCACTTCCTGGAAACGTACACGGATATAGCCATGCAATTTTCTTCGAATAAAATGGGAATTAATCTCCTCAAAAATTTCAGCAATGGCAATCTAGCCTACAGCATTTGTCTTTTAGGCTTGTGTCTATTTGGTTTTCTAGATCAATCAAAGTTGATCAGATGTTGCCTAAAATGCTTCACTAATGTAAAGACAACTAATAAGCAAAAGAATATTGATACATAATTTATACAGTTTTCAGATAGCACCAACCTAAAGTGATATTTTAATGACCACCTACCCTTTTAAGAACTGGAGTAAATTAATAAACTCCAACTCCAAAAGCCAAGTTCAGTGCAATATGTAAATAGTACACAAAGGACAGCTAAACCCATTCTTGTAATACAATGCAGACGCTTAAATTTAGAGTAAACATAAACTAGAGACAATTTCTTCTCCATTGCAGAAACAAGGTCAGCTATCTCCCATATTAATCTCTCTGAAATTAAGACAGGCTCCTTAAAATGACTTGGCTCATAAATTCCACTTTTGACCTTCAAAGGAAACTGTTTCAAATCACTTGCTCATTTCACTGGTTTTCTCTATCATTATTTTTCTGGGTAGAAATTCCAAACCCAGACTATTAGAAAATATCTCTACTAATGTCCCCAAAAAAGAATTGCACCAGCTGTAGAATTTCCCTTTATGGGACTAACATATTGTCTTAGCATTTCTCCTTCCTGGCCTCCTGGAAAATATTCATTTGTTATAAGTATTTGAAGGAGTCTGCTCAGAATCTGCAAATCTTATCTGCTAATCAACTAGAAGGATCTAGTTTTGTTAGAGCAACAATTTGAAAATATCTGCCTAAAGGAACACTGATGTGTGTATGAGTGAGAGGGAGATATTGAATGTGTTTTTAGAGAAGACAAAGCAGTCTGAAGAGATTAGTGGTAATCCCATGGACTCTGAACTGCAAACAGAAGTTAATGAAGGTGTGCTAAATTCTTGATTTCTATATTTAGCACCAAAAACCCAAGTGGAATTGTCCGACATTTTAGTTTTCAGAGGAAGAGCCCATTGTGACTGTTTCTAACAAGGTGATACAATTATGGCTGATGCTGGTGAAATATTTTTGAAGGTGATTTTTGTTAAGTATAGTTTCACTATGGATAGGATTGGGTTGGTGCTTCTGGGCATAGATGCAGATTAGGCATCCATGAGCAAAGATGGAAATAATTACACTCCTAGCTGTCAAGCTGAAGGACATTTTCCTCTATTAAGAATTAGTGGAACTCTACAATTGCTTAAATCACCAGTCAGGAGTAGCTGGGAAATTACAAACCTGTCAGCATAATGACCATACTGGATTAAGGCATCTAAACAGATTAGCAAGCAGCACATTTATCAGTGCTTAGATAAGGATGCAACAATTCACAGGAACCAGCATGGGTTTGTTCTCTCTCTCTTTGACATGGTGCCTTCTAATGCTCTTTCATAAAATATGGAATAGATGATACTATTGGGAAATGGACTCACTATTGACTAAATTACTAAACTCTAAAGTATTTATTAATGTCTCTATTTAAGATGCAGTGGAATTGCTGAATGGAGTGCCATTGGGCTATTCTGTCCTCAGCTATTCAACATTTTTATCAGCCACCTGGAGTTAAGGGAATACTTATAAAGTCTGCAGATGACACAAAATTGGGAGGAGTGGTTGAAATTTTAAAAGATCCAAACAGTCTTGAACAGGGAGCTGATAGGAATAGGGTAGAAGATACAAAACGGGTATGAGAAATGTAAGGCGCAAATATAGGAAGGAGCTTCGTAGTCATATATTATGAAGGGGATCTGAGGGTCCTTGTTGACTAGAAATTAAAATTAGCCAGCAGTTTGATGCAGATGCTAAAATGATAAATGCTGCATTAGCAGAAACATAAGAGTCCAGTTTGCTGGAAGAAATTGTGTTGTGCTTTAGTTTCCAGCCTCCAGAAATTGTGTCTGATCCTGAGCACCAGGCTTCAATCAGATGAAAAACTGGAGAAAATTCAGAGGGGAGTTGTCGAGATGGACAAAGGTCTGGAAACCAAGCCAGAGGAAGGGCAAAAGATTTGGATGTTTTTTAACCTACAGAAAAATGACCAAAGGCAGATATGCTCCCTGTCCCGTTCATGTCGGAAGCACCATTTAAGGCGCTTCTGGGTTGAAAGGATTAGCCGGTGATAAGGCAGGTATGATTACAATCTTCAAATATTTTAAGAGTAACACAGAAGGAGTGGACTTTATTGACTTAGAGGGTAGAATTAAAATCAACAAAGTACAAGAAAAGATGTTCATAGTTGGATATCAGGAGGAGCATCTTGATAATACCAGTGGAAGCCAGTGGAAGAGGCTGCTCCATGACATACTGAGTTCTTTTTTATTAGAAGTCTTCAGGGAGATGATAATCTTTTGCACAATTTGCAAAAATCATCTGTAGAGAACCCTGCACAGAGTATGTGAGTGCATGTGTATGCAAACATTTGTGGACTAGATGAAATATTTGTCCTCTCCCATCTCTGATTCTAAGCATATAAATATGAAAGGGCAATGTATTTGCAAGACTGCATTTAAGTTATGGACCAAAATCTTATTAGCCAAATCAACAGGTTGTAAGATTAAAACTTCTCTATTATGACATCCATGGCAACATATTTCCAATATGCACATTCTAGAAAAAAATATTACACACTTTTTGTTTGGCCTTTATCAATCATTCATGAAAGCCACAAGAAAAACAGGTTCTATTCCTTTAATAATACATTTCAAAGCAATCGTGTATCTTTAAATATTAAAATTTGCAGATCCATTTGAAATTCACCCTTGATTTATTTTATCAGTGTTTTTAGTGATGAAACAGCCTTTTAATTAACAGCTGTTAATTTATTAGTAAGATATTCACTGACAAAGTTTTGAAAGATAACATACAAAAAATAAAAAAGGTTACAAATCACTAGGGTTTTTAAAAAGTACATACTGTATTTCCTAGTTATTCTGAACTATTGAAGTACTTTCAAAGTCTCCTTGTTTTTTCAAGCTATTCTGCAACGTCTTTTGCAGTCTTGCTATGTTGGCATCCAAGGCTGCTAATCCATTTTTGAAGTCTTCTTCATCTCTGGATGTGAACGTTGAAAAGGAAGATATAGTCCACTCAGATTTTCCTGACATCCAGTCAAGAGTTGAAAAACTGGAGTCAGAAGCAGAAATTCCAGGGTTCTTCTGCCCATTTCCTTTTTGAGCATAACAGTGTTTATCAGGCTGAAGTCTGTCTGGATTGTTCAAAATCACATTAGCAGACCCATTACTTCTTTCTTTTGGCTGCATTTGGAGTCTCTCGCTTTCCAGCTTCTCTATCCTCCCCAGAGTTTCAGATTTATTTTCAACAGTCATTTTTCGACCAAAGCTACCATAGAACTTATCACCGATCTTGGTGTTGCTCAGCATCCCAACCTTGCTTGGCTGCTTAGAGCCACACTCGAGTTTGTGGGGAATCGGGTTCTGTTGTATGACTGTTTTCCTTTCAGTTGTTGTGACTGGTTTCTGAGATGGACTGCTACTCAGTGGAATGTAAATAGTCTCATCCAGCTCAGGACCCCCTAAAGTGCTTAAGCAGCTGGCTGCTTCTGCATCAAGCTTTTGGAAGACAGAAAGATTTCTTGAAGCCACAGTTTCCTCTGCTACCACCTGACTCTCTTGGGCAGGATGCTCATCTGCCCTCACATCAAATACTTGCTTGGGCTCTTGTATCTCACCCTCACTTAAGAGGGGCTCCATGCTGGTCAGAACAGGATCCATTTCTAATTTTTTAAGATAGTTTATTATGGAATCACTTAGAGGGTATGCATCAGGCTGCAATTGTTTCTCATGAATTTCCAAGAGAGCTTTCGATAGACTGCTGACTTGTCTGGGCTTCACCATATCCCCAGTGAGGTCCGACAGTAGTTTGGACATACTCCCTTGAAGAGCCCTGTAAAGCACAGATGTCAAGACATGATGTCAAAATGAGACAAAGGTGTAAAGGCTTGTACATATCTGAAAAGCCAAGATACAATCTTAGCACCACTAATTAGGCTCATTTCTGAATAGATATGTATTCCAGTAGGGTATAATCTAATTGATACTTGAAGTATCAGGGCATATAACTCTAAGTACATTCCACTGAGGAGAACGGGAAACCATTTTACAGCCAGGGTTGCGCTTTTCTTTCTATCTTCCCTCATCTCTAAGGGCTGGAGAAAATGTATTCAGGGATGCCAAGATGGTAGCGGTTCTCCAGCCTTGTTTTGCTGCTTCATGGTATTGTAGTGCAAAAAAATAGAATTTTAACAAAAATATTTTGCACCTTTTTGGAGCTAAACCACATAGGAGAATTTTCAGTCAATAATT